ATATTAAACTGTTCAATAAAACATTTTTAACAACAACAAATAAAACAGGAACTGTCAAAGATGAGTAAATTCAGAACAAGTGAAAACTGAACAAGTTTGATGAGTTATGAGCAGCTGATCATTTCTCAGTTTCAACTTGAATCGAAGCAAAATAAAAGGCAATAAACAAGAAGGTTTGCTGGAAGCAACTCTTCTTCAAACTAGGGCCGGGCCATATGGCTGAAAAATGTTTCAGGATAGAGTTTTATTGAATGAATTCTGGAAGCTTATGGAACTTCAATTATCCACGCTCTATCAGACACATTTTATATTCATATTCATCACGTCTATCCTGATACAGCGGGTAAAATAAGTATTGAACACGTCACCATTTTTCTCAGTAAATATATTACTAGAGGTGCTAATGACATGAAATTTTCACCAGATGTTGGTAACAACCCAAGTTACCGACATCTGGTGAAAATTTCATGTCATTAGCACCTCTAGTAATATATTTACTGAGAAAAATGGTGACGTGTTCAATACTTATTTTACCCGCTGTACATATATCTTTCAGCTTCAAATTCGAGTGAGAAGAATTCCTCATCCTCCCATCAGTTCTTATCAACACTTCTGTTCTCATTTAGAAAGAATAACTGAAAAAAAATTCCCAGTGGTGCTGAGCTAATGTGACTTTAATCACATGCAGGAAATCCATCTGCGGAGCGTCCCCTGATTCATTCTTCTGTTCCTTTGTCGAGGGAAGAAAGCGGCTCGGAGGGAGACAGAGAATGAGTAAAAGTGCTGATGAGGCAAACGGCGCTGCATATTGATAAAAGACGGTTAAAAGAAATGTTGGACAGGTAGAGGGGGAGACGCTGGGGACGAGAGTAGGACGTATGAAAGCATAACAAAGGAATGAAAAAATAAATGAGTGTTTCATAATTTCATAAGACACTAATAACAGTAGTAGCATCACAATTAGCACCCATATCACACACACAAACYAAAACACACAGGAGGTTGTAGAGAAGAATCTTAATGTCCTCCCTGTTTACTCATCGCTCTAATTTTTACTTCCCTGACCCCTTTTGGGATTTCCTGCCTCGTCGATATCTTTTTTTTCTCTTTTCATCACCGCCTCCTTTTCTCTGCTTTATTTCTCTCGTTTGGTCCCATCCTTTCCTCACATTTCCATATTTACCCAGCCATAAACAGCCCGCTGACACCCCTGACAGATTGATGAGAGTTACTTCTGAAAATGACTACAATTACTGCCCGCCTGTTTTTTTGACCGCGTCCAGAGTTAATTAAACCTATGTATATATAGACCTGTCAGCCTCCTGCGTTACTCTAAACTGCTCCTGTCACACGTCGGTCTTCTTGTTTTTTTCAAAGCCTGTTTAAAGTGGTTTAGGTGAGGATGTCTATAATCACTGCATCAAAGAAACCAGAGAAAGTCAATGACAAAATAAACACTGCAAGAAAAAAAATTACATTTAGTTAGTTTTTTTTTTGGCAAAAACAGCAGAGGAGGAGAAAAACATTTTAATCTGATTAGTGCCACATTTCACACTCTGTTGATTGAGCTTGATGATAGTTGGGGAGGGGAAAGGCATATTTTGCAACAGAACTCCAAAATTACACTGATTATCCCTCCGGGTGCGAGTCAACAGCCTGCATTAGTCGTGCTGTATCGAGGAGCAAACAAGTCGTATCTCATGATGTTTCCCTGGGTCTCATAACCTACTTCACGACAAATATAAAAAGTATTTCCATTAAACTCAGTTTACTATTACATTAAACTAAGGGCAAATAAAATCCATATTTGTAAAGAAAAAATAAAAAGAAGAATTTTAATATTGTTGAAAACATAACATAGATTGACAGTAAAACTGCATACAAGTATGAATACTTGTCTAAATATACATGGTACATACTCTAAAATGAGCACATAACTTGCCTGCACTGTACTTTGAACTTTGCAAAGTCATCAAAACCAGTGAAAAAATCTTTAAAGTGGGTGTATTATATATTTTCCACGTATATACTTAAATTTTATACCACAATCAAGTAACTGTTACTTTCAGTTGTTATTAAAATGCTGTATAGGCCTCTAAACGCCTTGAAATTTGCCTGGTCTCATTAAGAACCTCCTACCATTTACGACACTCCCACTTCAGCACGCCTTGACAACAATGCTTCGAGAGAGCAGTGCTCTGTGTGGCGGGAGCTCGGCTGCAGACTGAGCTCCAGGGAGGAGCTTTGTACAAATAGGCGGAGCTTTGTAGCAGCAAGCAGTGAGGCAGCTGCACATGGCGACCTGAGGAGATTCAAGGATTTCTCAAACATGCATGAATGAGTTAAAGCAACACTCTGGGTATGTTTTTGATCAGGGATTCATGTTGTAACATAAAACTCAAAAAAGTCAATTTTGCATTATACCCCACCTTTAAACTAGGAATTTGTAAGCATGATTTGCGACAGGATGCATGAATTCCTGTACCTGTGGGAACAGCCGAAGTGACTAAAAATGGTCATGTCCATAAAAACGCTATTTGGGATGGAGAAGTCAGATAAAGTTGATGTAATACTGTAATACGCACGATCTAGTACAGCTACCTCTGTGGGGACTTTGCAATGACTTCCATTAATTTCTGCAGCCTTAAACTGACTCCTTACCCTAAAGCCTAAACCTAAACCCCAACCCACCAACAACATTTTTCCCCATGGGGACAAGGCTTAGGTCCCCATGAGTTGGTCCCAAAAAGTAGGGGTGCTTGCCAAAAATTCTCCCCACGTTCTTGTTGGATTCCTTTATATTTGTTTACCTACACAAACAGCCGGCTTACTGTAGGTCAATCGCCTGACTCTAACTTTCAAATGGTTTTCATCGGATTCATTCGTGTGCTTCATTTACATTGAGTGCGTATCCGCATTTCAGACTGGCATATCAATTTATCTGGAAAACGACAGGAGGAAACTCTTTCAAATGGCGTCATTTGTTATAGCTCAGAATAACCTTTTCAGTGTTTGATTTTATATTTTGCCATGAGTCCCTTTAAATGTCATTTCACTAATATAAAACCGATTCTAGCATCAATCGATGCACATTAATTGAATGAAAATGTTTGTACAACAGTGCAAATAAAGTGGAAATGAAATCACTTTTATTTTTTTCCCTCTCCTCATTCTCCACGCTTTCTTATTGCCGCCAGTTTCTGTATCTGCCAGACGCCCCATAGCAGCTGGGGGTCTGTCTGTGTTGCAGGCAAACCGATTGTGAGAACTACTAAGGACACACACATTTATTATTCATGCCTATGAATATCCAAAGGGTCTGTCTGTGATGTCCGGAGCTTGTGCACACACACACACACACACACACTGTCTGTTGCTCATACGTAGTGTGTGAATGCGAGCAGATTGATGTGATCTGGTTTCGAAATTTGGGCTAATTAGGTTTCTATTTCTCTGTGTAGGAGACACGCTGTGGTTTTCTTCTCAGTCACCGCTCCAGTGGAGGCTGCAGGCATGGCAGCGTGACTCCATCGCCTCGAACGGAGGAAGGCCGCAGAGCTCTGTGACATGCCCCCTCACACCCACCACGCTGAGGGCTATGGCCTGCCCGGATCTGGTGAGTGGACAGAATCACAAAAGAAAAGGAAAAAAAAGAGAGAGAGAAGAGCAGGAGAGACATCGCTCTAATCCTGCTCAACACCACAGTTCTGCTAACTATGCATGCTCAGGAAGAACGCTGTCTGTTTTGACAGCTGCTAATGTTGGCACGCCCAGTGTGATTAGACAGACAGACACGCAAACAAGAGATGATGGCATGTGTCTAGTGATCTGGTGAAATCCCAAATTACTGTACGCATTATTACAGCCAACCACATGAAAATAACAAAACATGATGYGATTGTGTTACACCGTTTTCCTTCTCTGTTCCATCAAAAAGAACGAGCAGTGCATCGGTGGAAAATAAATCTCTGCTGGTGATGAACGAGTCTCTGTATTCACCGTCATGCTGTCACACAATCCCCTCGGTGTGTCAAAGTTCAACCCCCGAGCCCTTGACCCTTACTTAACCTTCGCAGCTCGTCATTGCTAGAACGTCCCATCTGAGCCTGTCCTGTAACATAATAAGAGCTCGACAGCGACACTGAAACTGCGACACGAGAGCGTCTGTTTCAGTAAATYGCGCTCGGAACACTCTTAACATTCTTCAGGTTGACTCTCCTCCTTGTTCCATTTTTACTTTGTTTCTGTCTGCCACTTTCTTCAGGCCTATAATCTTCCCCACTCTCCTCGTTTCATGCCACAGTCTAAATAAAAATCCATCAGACGTCTAGAGGCATAGCAACAGGAACAGCAGCTGGAAGCGTGCATTAGTGTCGCGGCTTTAGACAAGCTTATTTTACATTTCTAACGACACAAACTCGTGTTTACTCTGCAGAAAATCTATAAACTTACGGGCAAAAAAAAAAAAGAAGAGAAAAACTAAAGACAAGGGAGAGTTTCTTGGTGGGAGGGGTGGATGCATTTTGTTGTTGAAGAGGTGTCTTGCAAGATCGCCCCCACAAAGCGCCGCGATCACACCAGGGACACTTAATAACAGGGCCTCTGTCAGAACTTCCACACACCCACACAGAACCCGTAAAGTCAATACCTCCCAGCGGGCTGCCGAGCTCGTCTCCATTTCAGACGCTCGCATCTCTACACCGGCTCTCCTGACCACTCCTCTACGTTTCCGTCAACCAGTTCATTACTTTTACCAGCTCATTACAGCGGCGCTTATGTAAGGATTTTTGAGGAACAGSTCTTGATTAAAAATACTCTCCTTCAGTCTCAGAGTCGTAATTTTCCAAGCACACTTGGCTGACTTTACAAAGAACAAGAAGCAGAAAAGTCTACTAAAGCAAAAATCAGTCTACATCAACATTTAAAATKTTAAAATTCAACTAAAAACAGTTATATGCAGGATATCTTAGATATGAAAGAATGAGCAGATAGACAATCAAATCCCCATTGATTGATTTATTATTTATCTAATTTACAGGATGCGTTTTCATCAAATCTCAAAGGACTAAAACATGGGAAAACACAGCAGGTTGAGGGTCAGCTTTATAATTTATTGATTTTAAATTATTAAAAATCAAATTACAAAATAATCTCTTGATCATTACAATTTATAGTATTGATAATTTATTTCTGTCGTCGCATGATTCACCAAGAATGCAGAAACACGTTGGAATAATGCACAGAAAGCATGCGTGTATGGTCATTAATAATGATTTAATTCTGAGTGACAGGCAAACAGGACTCAATCAGGAAGCTCTGTCGGCTTGTCGCTGACACGTCAGCGGACACAGCCAATAATATAAACCATGATAACATCATATGACGTGCTCATAACCAATCACAGATCGACTAATGTACTATCCAGCCAATCACAGGGCTCTCAGCTCAAAGAGTCTCTTATCAAACAAGAGAGTTCAGTCAAACTCATTTTTATCCATGAAGTGACATGGGCAAGTGTTTCAATGTTTTGAAGACAAACACGTTTAATGTGGACGTTTTTCTCAGTAATAAATATTTAAAACAACATTAAATTTCCTTACATTTCTAACAAATTATCAATTAGTCAAATTAGTTTTAACCACAACAACGAAATCATTAAATCTTAGTTTCTATTTTCTGATTTGATCCATTTCTTTCCATTGGGACGATAATCCAGAATCCAAATATTCCATTAAACCGAGCTGAATTAGGTTGGTGAAGGAAAAGTGAAAAGACTAAAAGAAACAAAAAATTATAGAGCAAAAAAACCTTTGGGCTAAGAAAGGTGCAAAGTTGAGGAAACCATAACTTTTGAGTGACAGAATAAATAAAACAAACAAACAAACAAAAAAAGGAAATAGAAACAGTGAGTGTGGAGAGACGGAGAAAAAAGAGGAGACGAGATGACAGAGGAGCAGTTTGAGGGAGAAGGAAGTGAGATGAAGTGAACAAGGAGAGGAGTGAGAGGAGAACAGAGGGGTCTGTGAACGACACAGAGACCATACGGTGCCTTCAGGCCCTCACAATCCCAGCAGACTGTCTTATCTAACACACACACAAATTAGATCACTCCTATTAAAACCCCATTCACAAAGTTTGTTTTGAGCATCTTCTGTCCAATACCTCCCTGCGTCACTTCTGATGAAAACTGATGCAGAGAGACTGAAAGCAGTTAGGATTTGGCTTTTGAACAGGGATATAATGCAGACTGGCTTCCCAACATTTAGTTGGGAACAGAGCCAAATAATGACTTAGCGTTATGCTAAGTACATATTACATTCCTGTGAGCAAGCGAGTAGCGCAGCTAACTGGAACAGACCCATTACAGCATGTATACATCCTCTAACTGTCTGGGAACACAGCCAGTGAAATAGCGGCAGAGGATAATAAGTTTTGCTGCAGCGCTCAGGTTGATAAACTGATAAAAAAAATACTAGTTTGATTTTGTGTCAGGCCAGTAGAAAAGTAGTCAGGGTGCTTATCGCGGGGATTAAATGGCCTTTAGGAGCTCTTTGGTGCGAGTCAATCCTCTGATCTTTAACCCAGATTCTGCAGTGAAATAAACGTGAAGGCTGGAAAATGTTTTAAAAGTCTGATTGAAAATGGATGGGTGGTCAGCCGTGGGGGATTAGTAGCTGGTGGTAATGTTCAACGCTGCTGGAATATTGGGTGTGTCGTTAAGCGCAGAGTGCAGAACTGGGTTTGATGCCTTCACATATTGTTATTTTTAGACTTGGAGGCCAACTTCACAAAGGATCAGGCGAATTCAACCAACTCAACGCTTCTTTTTTAAATTTACTACAAGAGACACGAATCAACAGTGTAATAAGGCAAGACTTCTTTAGTTCAACTACAATTTCATCGTCTTCATCCTCCTCTGGCTCTGGGTCAGACTCTGGCTCCAACATGTGAGGCTGGATGGAAAAGTCTTCCCTTTTTGACATCTTTTAATTCATTTTAAATAAAAAGTTTCTGCGCTGCTATATAGTCGTAAACCCATCTGTCAAGGTAGAATGAATCGCTCTGAAAGCTAGAAGGAGGAGGGGTCTGAAGTGCCTCGTTTGGATTTAAAGAGACAGTCTCCAAATGAGTTGATCTGAGACAAACCTCAGAAAAGGTGTGAAAGAGGGGCTTATTGGGTTACAATAAGGACAAATTCAGACCATAGCATTGCAGTTCCACTTTATAAAGACTCCAACCGAATGATTTAAGAAGGATTTATTATGTCTCCGTTCAGTGATTCACAAAATATTTTATTAAAAGCCCAGAGAAACACCCACAGATAGCGAGCACCTTATTTTCAGTCTTTGCCTTCTTAACTCCATCACACACATCCCTGACTGGATGTCGTGCCTTACACTCAGAAGCTACTCTGGATGTGGTTGTGTGGGTGATAAAATATTATTTGTTATTTTTATGCAGCTTCGTGCCGCAGAGGTGACCTTAAACTACTGCTCTGAAAGGCCATAATGCGTGCAGAAAACTAAATGCACACGAAAACCTGCAGAAACATCCTTGGAAAAAAATAATAAAAAAGAAACTTCCTTTTCTAAAGCTTCTCTTATACTTTGACCTTGCATTTGCAACGCCATGCTAGAATAAAAAGACAAATCCTGGTGATCATAACTTAAAATACATTGTTTTATTCGCCTCACAATTAGTTCACAGAATATAGAAAGAGCTCCGTGCTGGAAATCTACACAGCTAAACTGTAATATTGGAGCTGCACTTCAGAAGGAAACAGTACTTGATGCAAATCAGAGAAAATTGCTGGGATAATTGCATTTCAATAATGGTCATTTAGTCTTTGTGAAGGGTTTAAAGCCTCCTATAGAGCTGCAGATGTAACACATTGGGCCTCATGCAAGAACCGTTCGTACGAATAGATTTGTTCTTAAGTTGTGCATACGAGTGATTTAGGAGAACTTATGACATTCACCAATTCAAGATATTTTTCAGAAATGAACAAATTTCATGAGTGGTCCAGACCTGTCGTATATTTTACGTGCAGTCAGTCTGCTGTTATCCAGATGGATCTTCTTCACTAATAACTTTATATTTCGTTATTTAGAAAATATTTTGAGTTGAAAATAAATCACACGCCATAATTATTTTGACAATAGATTATTCTGTTTGAATTAGAGTTATAATTTTAAATGTAATAGACTAACAACATAAATTGGTTAAATAAAAAAAATTGGCTATGAATTTTGTTGTATAGCACTACAACGTTTATATGAAGTTAATTGAAGTTTTGAGACATTTTAAAAGGCTTTTTTTTTCAGAAACGCATCTAACACTTGCCACGGTCGGGAGGACCGCTCTTCTGAATAAATGAAAACTATAGGTGACACAGTTGTTTACACTTAAATTAAAAAATATTTGACCAAAGAAAAACAAGAGCAGGACCAGAGAGAGATGAATATGATTTAGATTTTTATTTCTGTGACAGGAGACACGACATTAACAGCAGTCGTCATTTCATTCCTTTGCTAAAAATGACAGATTTTCTTTTCTGGTTCTCTGTGAGCAGAACTTCAATCTCCGAACTCGTAAAGTTCTTCTTTTTTACTTTAT